CAGGGCACAGGGGAAATTGAAGCATTGCAGAAAAAAATAATGTATTTATAGTTAGAGATATCATTCTTGGTGTGAACAAGCCTTAAACCACTAGATGGCACAACAACTCACAGCAGCACTTTTCTAAACATCTATGTTTCAATATGCACCTTGAAAGTTGGCCAATTCTTGATGTTTTCGCATCGCAGTATGCAGTATCTCATGAGCTATATGCTGTACGTAAAACCTTTCAGTTACAGCACAACCACATCTCATTGTATCTAAAAACGTAGGAATCTTTTTACATCTCATGTGGCAAAGTGAGATATTGAACTGCTTTTCAGTATCACTACAATTTGCCTAAATGAGCCTATTAGCCAAAAGCCTAAAACCCCCTCTCTAATTGACATATAGATGGGAAAGAGAGACAAAGAGTGATGAATGGAAAAGAAGAATCATGACTGATGGCCAGTGAATTTCAGGTTATTCAAAGAGCCAGTAATCATGACTGATCCCGCTCTCAAGGCACAGGGGAAATTGGAGCATTCCAGAAAAAATAACATATTGTTGAGACATTTTTAGCAGTGGAAGATAAACTCTGAGGGACTCTCAACAGCTTACTGGCCAATTCAAAAAATTACTCTACAGTCCGTTTATTTCCTTTCATATTGTGACGTAGCATTAAGAGCCTCGGGTGGTTTAATAACCAGTTCCTCTCTTGATTGCAAACGGACGACGCATTGATCTCGGTCAAAGTTCCGCCAGAGGACAAATAAAAGAGCAGCAGGGACGACTCTGGGGACTCATGGGTTGCTGTGGCACCTCTTTTGACATTTGTTAGGATTAAAAGGACTACACATACAGTTTTAGACTGAACCAACAAGCATATCAATGAAAATGTCTAATTAGAAAAGAGTTTGTTTCAGTGTATGTTTGATCATTCATCCATTCATAACCATTTGAAAGCAATACAAAGTTTACACTCTGCATTGACCATAATACCCTGCTGCTCCCATTCTTCATTTGTTTTTGTTTTTTGTTTTGTTGTTGTTCGGTTTGCCTGGCAACCAGCTCTTCTTTGTCAAAGACTATGATAGAGCCATTCATCTGCGAGCTCACTTAGCCATCATTTTGCCATGACCGTTCTAGTAAGATGTAATTTTACCACTTGTAATTTACAATGTGGACAATTAGCTTGAGCGACTGTCATTTGCAATGGAGTAGGAAGTCATTAAGGAGTGAAGGAGATGCTTTTATTGAGCTCAGAGGGCATTCAGAGACAGATGAAAGCAAGGATATGAGCGCTGGCCTCTTTGATAAAGTGTGCCATTAAATTTGTGCTTGTGTGGAGACAAACAGCTTCTAGCTGCCCTGTAGTTGGACCTGTGAATCTGCTACTGTGGTTACACTATCAATTGTTGTATACAGGAAGGATGTGTGTTTACCTAAAACTTCAAAGGGTCTCTTCAGAACACAAAGAAACTGTAAATAATGCTCATAATCTATTTACAACATTATATGTATTGCTGAGATATAAATAAATGTACATACATGTAAACAAACATCCTGCACAGACATATCTAGACTTCAACATATGGACCCTTTTCACAGACTGTGATGACGAGTTTACAATGTTATTAGCATCGTAAATAAGTAGTTTTTTATATTTATAAATAGTTTTAATATTTTCATTAAAAAATAATAATATACATTTATGACATTATGTATGTGTTATATTACCTAACTAGTTCACGCTGCTATGTGAGTGTTTCTAATACACCAGATAAGGGCGTGACAGCAAATTTTTATCAAGCAATGTAATCAGTCACTCTATATTTTCCTCCCTCTTTTGTATGGTCATGAAATGCTATCTTATTTTATTTTTGTTTATAAGTGAATTAAGCACTCAAAAACCATAAAAATACATGTTAACAAATATGGTAACACTTTAGATTAAAGACCAGCATGCATATTACAATCATTTTGGCGGTTTATTAGTACTTATACAACACATATTATTAATCCGACCCCATACCTAAATTTAACAAATACCACAAATACATTTGCAAAGTCTCATTAACAGACATGCATACACAAACAATTTGGATAGATTCTGAGAGCATGACATCTTAAGAACAGGGAATACATAATTTATAAAGGCTTAAATTACTCTTAATGACACAAACACACATTTCCCTTTATAGAACATTCATGAAAATGTTTTATTTTACAAAAATTAATACTTTTCATAAATGATTTTACATATTCTCTCCAGTGCTGCACAAATAGATAGGTAGACATCAGGGTAGATCAAGAAGATGTTGCATCAGGCAGTGAAAGCACTCTCTGAACATTCTTCTTGTGTGTTCTATAGGCCAGGGTATAAATTGGTGTTCTGCTCCTTTTTTATTTAAACAATTGGAAACACAAATCACTTTTTTCAGATGGTGGATCAGCACCTAGAGATGACCTCTACAGCTCTGAATGTCAGCGGAGACCATGTCAACTAGATGAGTTCCAGAGACAGATCCCTTTCGAAGACCTCGTCACCTCGACGACCATCGGCACAAGACCACGGGAACCAGACGAGTCCTCTACACCAGTGTTGCAGGCTGGAATTAAACCACACCATGATGGTTTTGTCTGGCCAGAAGAGAACTGCCCCCCCACCCCCACCCCCACCCCCACCAACTGAGCCTAGTTTGTCCCAAGGTTTTTTCTGCATTTTTGTCACCGATGGAGTTTTGGTTCCTTGCCATTGTCTGCTTTGGCTTGCTTAGTTGGGGATGCTTGACTGATTGCACAGACACTATTGGACGAGAGCTGAATTGGATGATGACATCACTGAATTATAATGAACTGACTTTATCTGGAAAAAATTACTCTGTTATTGCCTTCTTGCTGTCACGAATATGGACTGTCTGTGTGTGTTTTCCCTCGTGTGTGACATGTCCATATTTGTTTTTTCCGGTTCCTGTATCCATTGTGTGTTCATTGTTTCCAGGTGTATCTCATTATTAGTTCATCCTCCTCACCTGTCTGCCCCTCGTTATCTGCCCTATTTGAGTTCTAGCCTGTTCCATTCTTCCTTGTCCGGTATTGAACGTCTAAGAAGTGCTACGTGTGTGTCCTTCCTGTGGATTAATAAAGACTGTTTTTTGGTGTTAACTCATCGTCTCCTATTTCCTCGTTCCAACACAGTAGGCGATTGTGACACTTGCATTATTGCCAATCTATTTTCCTGTTAAACACTGTAAAGCTGCTTTGACACAACCAGTATTGTATAAAGCGCTATACAAATAAAGGTGACTTGACTTGACTTGACTTTTTTTGAGAACTTTGGGAACTTCTCATACCCTTTTTATTTTATGCTAATTTAATTTCTGTCATGACAACTCTCGGTGGGATTGGCATGGTAATATACATGACAATGTTAATGTATTTGGTCTTGGCAGAATAGATCTGCTATGCTGCTGCTGCGGCAGAGCATGTACTGAGACTGTGTCATGTGCTGCTGCTGTGAGCATGTAAGAAATATTGCTGCTGCAAATATAACATACATGAAATAACCCCCATATAGCATACATGAATTACCTCGTAGCAGATCTATACAGGTGGAGCTGGGGAAGGTGGAGGGTTTCTGAAACAAGTTGCAACAGCTATGGCAAGCACTAGTCATATATTTGAATGTTGAGCAGCGAGCTCATTGGCTACCGATACAGGAGAGAACAATCAGCTGTGCCATGTGATAATGATGTCATTAGGTCAGATTGAACTAGACCTATCAGACGGCACCATCTAGAGTTTCACGCCAGAACTCTGTATATATCTGCATTTATCAAGCTCAACTTTCATCCCTGTAACCCAAGTTATTGTGCGATTTTTGCAATTTTAAGATTGTAGGAGAAATTAACTTTAAGAAAATAAAAACACACCAACATTTAGCCCCAAACCAGCTAACCTTAAATAATTTAGGCTAAATCTGCAGTTCCGTTACTCATTCTGGATATTTTCAGGGAAAGTAAACCACACATTTAGATTTTAAACAGACCCAACTGCGAGAGGCTTTGTTCATGTAAACACTTGATTACAACAGACAGTAGCATTGGATAAACTGCCAATGACGATGCAATGAAGTTTGAGC